CCGACCTCCGCCTGAAGCACCACCATGGGTTGTATGAGGTGCTAGAGTCCGTGAAAGTTTTCCTAGTAATTTTTATCTGTTTGTCATTTTTTTCTTGTGTTCATCTTTGTTGTTGATTTTGACAATTTGTTTGAGTTTTTAGCCTCTCTTATGTCATTGTGTATGGTTGGATCTATGAGACCAGGTTTGGCTGTGTCAAGCTTACTACATGGTTAGCGTTTCGTGATGCTCTTTCAGGGGTGACCGTCTCAAAGTCTCACCATAGGGTTATAGTCGTAGTTGTTGGAGTTTCAGTTGATGTCAGTTTTATTTTCTCTTTGCTTGATGTAATGATCCTGAATCTTTTGATATGAATAAAGGCCTGTTTTGATGATTAAAAAAAGTATTATTTAATTTCAATGGGTTTATATATGCTCAAATTATTGGATTTGTTTATTAGCAATTATTGTCAATGCTAATTTAGGATTTATAATGGTTTAAATTAGGATTGAAACATTAATTAGTGTGAATTATTATTGTGAATTATGTGAATTTCATTTAATTTAGTGAATTGTTTATGGTGTATTATTAATTAGATTTTGATAATTTTAGTATTGTGAATTAATGTCATTTACGTATTGTTTGTAGTTTAATAATATTAATTGGACGTTAGTTAATTTTAGTGAATTTTAGTAAAGTTAATATATAAATGTTCCTAAACATAACAAATTATCGTTAATGCTTATGAATTAATGCCATTAACGTAATAATTTAGTGTATTTAGTGTGAAAATCCTAATATTGAGTATTTAGTGTTAATGTATTGATTATTAGTTAATAATTTAAATGATTAGTGTCATTAACATATTAGTAGTTCTAGTTAATTAATAATATCAATTGAACGTTATCTAATTGTAGTGAACTTTAGTGAAATTGAATATATTAATTCTCCTACATATGAATTAGTGAAAATATTTAACATAACAAATTGTTGATAATGTTTATGATTTAAATTTTTAACCAATATTTTTATTATTATTATTATTAAAATATTCAGGCATAATGTATAGGCAAAATAGAAGTTGGATGTATGAAAAAAATGCGGTATTGTACGGAATGAAAACAAATTTCCTTGATGGAATTGGGGAGTTTATTAAATTTGCACTTGAACACCGGGATTATATGAGTGATGATAAAATGAGATGTCCATGTTCAAAGTGTAAAAATCTCAAATTTAAAGACTCAGACGATGGGTTGGATTTGTACGCGGACGGTTTCGTTCCCAATTATTATAATTGGACTTGTAATGGCGAACCTTTGGATCCATCTCTTCTACCACAAACGGTAGGTTCGTCTCGTAACGTCCCTAACGAGATGAGTGGGTGGGGAGACCGTGCTCAAATGAAGTGGAGCCAAAGAATGATATATGACGCATACGGTCCATCGATGTCTCAGTTCAACCCCCCACAACCATCTGACGATCCGCCTGAAGCCTCGAATTCGTATCAACCAGATGCGGATGAAAATCCGATATTTTATCAACCTTATGTGGATATTCAAGATCTAACGGGGGATGAAAATCCGATATTTTATTATCAAATATTGGTGTCATATGAAAGATAAAAACGTTATAAATTTAGATATATTTTTTGTAACAATTGGAGCACAAATAAAAAAGATATAACATTTACAAAAATATTTCAAAAGTGTTAAATTATTTTTATATTTTTATATATTGAATATTGATGTCTTATGAAATGTAATAAAAAATTATGACTTTTGATATTTTTTTATATAAGAATCAGAGTACAAATAAAAAAGTTATATCAGTTTTAGATAAAAATGGGATTTCATTTATTGGTGGGGCCCATCTCATTTCTCATCCTCCTGCGGCTCTCTTAACCAGGGTTTAGGGGAACAATATTTTGGGAAATACTTTTAACCTAACCTTATTTTGGGAAATATTTTTTTATTTGACATTATTTTAGGAAAAAACTCTAGTTAGCCAGAGTTGTTTATTTATGACTTCATAGACTTTATCATTCAATCGTGAAATTATGTTAACTTACGACATAATTGAAAGACAGCGAAAGCATAATTTAATTTGTCATAAAAAATCTAGCTTAAGCAACAAGTTGTAATACAATAGTCTTTCCCAAGGCTGTCTATTAAAACCTTTATTAGGCAACATTTTTAAATCGATAATGAACACATTTATGTAAATAAATGAAATTGTTCATTGACAATGTAACTCAATAATAATATTAAATTGGTTATTTTACTTAAGTCAAACTAGTTATTCAACACACAGAACACAAAACGTTACGGGAAGAAACAATAAATAAACTATATCTTTGAAAGATAGATTTTTGGACACAATTGTGGGCGTTTAAAGACGTGGAGAATTTAGTCCAACGTATAAAATAGTGGAGAAATTTAGTTCCTTGGATTGCAGTAAAAATTGAATTGACCGAATACGTAAAATAGTGGAGAATTTAGTGATGATACACTAAACGCAGATCTTACACATGCCGCAAAATTGTCCGGTGATGATAAATATTCTGAGGGCAGACACAAAAACTTTTTTTCTGTTTCTGTTTCAAGTCATAGAGATACTACTACTGCCCTTGAGGAAATTCAAGAAGGCTTTTACACAGGTTAAAAGCAGAAGAAACAAAATCAACACCTCATAAAGCCTTCAAACGAAGATACATAAAATGCACAATTTTTCTATCACGTGAGATATAGTTCACATCCAATGATCACCTGAAGCAATTCCAAGAAACCACAAAACGAGTTGGCCAATTCATTTACCCGGTTGATGAAAGATTTGACTCTCCGCATAATCTGGCAGTTGCTCTCAAGCATTTTGACATTTCTCATCCGTATGCCAGAGCATACCAGCCCTATCTTCAGAAGGCTATAAAGTTTCATAACAAATTTAATAGATCATTCTCGGTTTCCCTTGGAATTCCCTTGACTACTTTCAACTGGTTTTGCGGTATACTTTATTTCCCTTGTATTTAAAATTGTTTTTAATAAAATATGGAGGTGTTCCCTGGTGCTTCTCCCACCACGTATGGTTTTGATCCGGGACAAAAAAGAGTGGAGAATTTAGAAGCTGTTCTCTTCACCTGATCTGAATGTTTCTAATCTGAATTTTTTAAGTTCTGATCTGATATGATCTGAATGTTTATGATCTAATCTGATCTGATCTGAATCTTTCTGATCTGGTCTGATCTGATCTGAATGTCCCTAATCTGATCTGAATGTTCCTGATCTGATCTGAATGTTTCTGATCTAATCTGAATCCTTCTTATCTGATTCGAATCCTTCTGATCTGGTCTGATTTAAATATGTCTAAAATTATAATTGTAATTTTAATTTTTATTATAATAATTAGAAATGTAATTACACATATATAATTTAAATATAATTATAATTAAAATCATAATTATAAAAAAATTATAATTATAATTATAATAATTATAATAGGTATAATTATTATTATACGTATTACACTAGTTATAAATATAACTATAATTAGAGGAAGCGGTCCTGATCTGATCTGAATAAAATAAGAATAAGCAATAAGTAATAAGATTAAGACGAACAGAACAGCTTCTTAGTGAATAGATATAAGGATGGCAATGGGGGCGGGGACCCGTGGGGAACCGCCTCGTGGGGGAAGGATGGGGCGGGCTTGGGGTGGGGTGGGGACGGGGATAGGTGAGATATTTTTACGCCGTTAAAATATGGGGCGGGGGACGGGTATTGCTACGCCCAGTGGCGGAGCCAGAAATCTACGATTAAGGGGGCCGGTTCTTAAAAATTTTACATTGCAGGGGTCAGAATTTAAAATATCAACATATTTTCTATAGATTAAAAGTATTTATACATAATATATATTTAAGAATTTTTTTCTTGCCGGGGCCGAGGCCCCCTCCAGTCCCTCCCTGTCTCCACCCCTGGCTACGCCCGCCCCATCCCCGCCCCGTCCCCGTTATAAATATATACTCACATATATAAATAATGTAAACACATATTAACAAACGTATAAATATACACATATATAACTAATGTACACACATATTAAATTAAATTATACGTAGTGTATAACAAACACATATACATATAGACATACATAATTGTATACAGTTTAATCATGGTTAATGAATTAATACATACAGAGTATTATAGTAGAATAATAATAAACTAGTAATGATTAAAAATATTTATCATAAATGTTACATGAGTTTTAAGAGTGAGAAAGTGAGTCAATAAACACACACACATTTATATGTAATATAATATGCAATTAATTGTATAATAGTTGCTGAAAGTTTTGAAACAACGTACATGATGATACTATATTTATACTTTAATTATCTTCAATTCACAAAACTTATTCAAAAGGAAGAATTATTAAAATTGGCGATATTAACTTTTAACAAACACAATACTTCAATGTTGCGTGTGTGTATCATATATTACTGTGCGCGCATAGATGTATATAGGTTTAGGATCAAATGAGAACAACGTTTAACGTGAGAACGTGCGAGCACCACATTTACCACCAAAGTGAAGCACAATGGGCTCGCACAATGCACTTTTTCGTATCTAGCATAATATTTACAAAAGTGTCATTGCTATTATTTATATTAGCTTGTACTGAGCGAAGTCCAAATGTGCACTAGAATGATTCAATTGTGTATCACATTGGATTAAATGTGTGTGTTTCCACGTTAAGCATGGTTCTCATTGGAACCATACTACATATATATTTATAATAAGAGATCAAAAGTAATGCAAATACGATAAATTAAATCTATATAGGGGCATCCGTGGGCACCCGTGGGGCACAACGGGATGGGGCGGGGATGGGGCGGGTTTGGGAGTAACGGGGATGGGGTGTGTATGGATGGAACTTTTTAGACATGGGACAGGGATGTAGGACGTGCCATTGTCATCCCTAAATAGATACCGAGTAAGTGATAAAGGAATGTTTCATGCCAATTTAAGGTACATGTATATTTCCTACTTCACTTTTACCGGAATGATTTACTCGGATGATTCTTTTGAACCTGGTAATTGTATTCTTAATTAATACCAAAAATCCCCTATACCCACCATTCAATTCTGATAGACAATCTCAGTATTCACGTAAAATTCGTTGGAATCGGACTATCAGAGAGTGCGATCGAGCAGAAACCAGAAGAAGCGCATTGGGATGAGTGTGTTTGGAGGAGATAGCTGGGCGAGAGAAGCAGGGCAAAGGAAGAGAAGAGTCGACGATCTGATTGCAGGAAACATCAACGCTTCAGCTTACAAGAAGCTATCCTCAGGCAAATTCTCATGTCTTGTTTGCCCTCACAATCCCGTCCTTGACACTCTCTCTGTACTCTCTGTAAGTACTTAAATAATATAATTCGGCAACACGATTTCCCCTTGATTGGATCTTATTCCGATTAATTGCTATGTGTTGCAGTGATGCTTTACAAATTCAATTCTAGATTCCTAGGTCTGTTTTGTTAATTCTTTATTTAATTCAGTAGTCTGGATTCTGGAATGGATATGATGTTTCTTAGATTAGTACACAAGAAGAAACTATTGGCTTTTTGTGAAACCTGTCATACTGCAACCACAATTCTGCAAGTATTGTGTGTATCTCTTCTTATGGTTTAAGATTCCTACTTATAGGCTCATTTAAAAGGATTACGCCATCGAGCTGCTGAGTTGAGGCTCAAGGATAAAGAACTAGCCAGACAAGACGAGATAAACAAGAGATTCGCATTGTCCGACCATGCTACTGATAATTCTAACAGACCATGTAGGCCCTTAAGCAAACGCCTGATCGAAAACACCAAAAGGGCTGTTTCCGATATGCATAGAACTGAAAATGTTAAGCAAACTCCCGTCTGTCAACCGCCTGAGCTCCAATGTTATAGAAGCCTGTCAATTAGTGATGGTAACGGGTGTGTTCCAACAGATGTTGCTCCACGACATAAAGGCATCCAGCACGCGGCTTATGATCCGGAACGACATGAGAGAGAGCTTAAGTTTACTGCTGCTGGCTGGAAGCGAGATGCCCATGGTAGATGGTTCAAAGACGAGAATGTGAGTATTAGGATCTATTTGGAAGAGTTGTTTGAGTAAATGTATGCATAACAGCAAGGAAAAGCGGTTGCGTACCCATTTTCAGCCAAAATAAGTACTTTCTTTTCTCGTGCGTCCTGAATGTTTTGTCTCGTTGACTTTTTTTATTCATGAATTAAGAAAGTGAAGTTGTGCAATTGAAATTTATTTATAAACAGAATAGTCATTAGTAGTTGTATAATTCTTTCCGTGAAAGTGAATGGAAGAACATATTGTTTAAGTATGTGGTAATGTGGTATCATATAGTCAAAGATACAAAGGCATCCAGTTTCTTCAGGAACCCATGCAGTACCAAAATCATGTTGCTTTGTTATAAATGAAACTGTAGTGTTGGATGGTTTTATGAGAAACTTACAATATTGCATGCTTTGTAATTAGTCTTGACCCAAGTTTCAATCCAAGTAGTCATGAACAGAATGAACACATCCATGCTAACAATGGATGCATAAATTGCTTGCAGGTTGAGTTTGACTCTGATGAAGAAGACCCCAACATGTCTCTTGCTTGATATAATATCAGTGAAGTATCATTTATTGCCTCCATGGGGATTGCATACCATTCATCACAGTATGACAAATATCACTGGCTGACATGCATAACAGTAATTCAACACCAGGAGAAAAAATGGCAGATTCAAAGATGCAGTGGCCTGTTTGGATGAGAGTTAGTGACTTGTCCTATGGTGTGTCTATCCATTATCTTTTTGGATACATCAGAAAGGATGGTTTGTCTATCCATAAATCAACACCAGAAGAAGAAATGGCAGATTCAAGGACATTTATATTTCTTTCATTTTTTCTTTGTACTTTAGGCTTTATACAGACTTGTTAGTAGTACTTCGTACACAATAATAGTGGGCAGCTCAATAGATAAATACTGCGTTAAACATTACCAGAAGCAAAAAGAGATGGAGCTCTTTTTTTATATTACTTAATAACTACACTACTGAGCAAAAAATGGAGCTCCATTTCACAAAAAAGTTTGATATAACTTTGCACAAAATATGGTCAGATAAGCTAAAACAACCATCATATCCACACTTCTAATCACATTCCTCATCTGGATGATAGCCTGTGGTACAAATCATCTGCCAGTGCTTGCCTCGCGCTATCCCCATCATAATAGGAAGACTTCTCGTTATCCAATACCTTCGGCGGTAAACCGATCTCTTCCGGATCCTTCCAGGCCTCTGGCTCGGGTTCCCTTGCAATCTGACACAAATTGTGCAACACACAGCAGGCAACAACTGTTTGAGGGGCGTGTCTAATATCCACATTCAAGTCTTGAAGAATCTTCCACCTTGCCTTCAACAAACCAATGGCTTCCTCCACTGTCTTCCTCCCCTTCACCAATGCCTCATCGAACGTGTTCTGTGCAGGACCCCCAGTCCTGTAACGAGAGAATGGGGTGAGTAAAAATGACAGCAATGGGAATTTCCAGTCACCCACCAGGTGGGGCTTCACTGCCTGCCCTCTAATGTGTACTGTCCTGTCCCAAACTATGTCTTCGGAGATCAGCCGGTTGTACAATAAGCTATCCCTGAAATGTGTGGCATCGTCGAACCCACCCGGGGCTTTCACGCAAGCGTCCCAGAAAACCTTCTTGTGGTCTGCCACGACCTGGAGGAGGATGGCAGGGAACCCGTGTTTACAGAAGTACATGGAGGAGTTTATGGTGTCTGAAGGAAGGTGATGAAGCCGTATGGGGGTTCCGTGGATGGCGCCGCAAATGTTCGGGAGGGATGTCAGTTCTTGAAAACCCTGGGTGGTTTCCACCACACGGCGGCGGCTCACGGGGATTTGAATAAACTCCGGGTAAAGCTTGGTGGCCAGTAGGCGGGTGACCATGTTGGTGATTTTGCAAACCAGGTAGGGTTCTAGACCGTAACGGGACGCTAGGGTTTTAGCAGAAAGCCCATTGGAGAGCCTCGAGAGAACCATCGCGACGGCGTAATCGGAAGGGAGGGAGATTTGGGATCGGGCGATGTAGGGTTTGAGTTTATCGACGACGGTGTTGAAGACGGGGTAAGAGAGGCCGTAAAGAGACCGCCATTGCGCGTCACGCAGAGGAGCTTCCATGGCCCATATGTGTTCAGTGGAGAGAGCGCGGAAGGCGGCGACGGAGCACGCGGCGGAGGAAGGGGTTTTGCGCTTTTTGTCGTTGGGAGGGCGAGAGGCAATGCAGGGGATGACGGTGGCGACGGCGAATAAGAGAAGAGGGGCGGCGGAGTTGGTGGTGAGGAGGGAGGTCGGCGAGGCGGTGTAGATGGAGTCGGAGAGGAGGGAGGTGGTGGGGTCGAGGTGGTTTTGGAGGTTGAGCAGATTTGTAAGCGTAAAGAAGAATTCCTCATCCATGGTTCCTGATTCCACGGTTTCCCTCCTCTTTCGTCCCGAATCTTCTGAACTGTGTTTTAGCCACCAGTCCACGACTCTATTTCACTATTTGTCGTCTTGACCAATAGAAGCCATGGAAAAACTGTCAATTTAGTCCTGGTACTTTCATGAAAAAGTCAACTAGGTCCTCGTACTTTTAAAAAGATTAATCAAGTCCCCGAATTTTGTAAAAACGTTCAATTGAGTCCATTTGCAGGTTAATTGCCATCAACAAAAGCATCGTGCGAGATTGATTGGTTGGAAAATTAAACTAATGCGAATAAAACGATTAAACTAAAAGCTTGGTTTCTTTCTAATTAACGACGAAGGGAACAGAGATTGATTCCGGGGTAAGCAAATTTCTGGCAGATCAGGCTTAATTACATGAAATTAATTCAATTGAGCCTAGTTAATCATTACTATATTCTTACCGCTCTCGCGGCATAGAGTTCAATAATTTAGGGGACCAGGCAAAATTCTCATGCGGCATGATCCTAAATTATTGCCAAGACGAGCGAGTTTACGGCTTCTTAATCGCTACTAATCTCTTAGCCAACGATTAAGTGTGTGTGAAATAACAAGCAACAAAGAAATTGTTTTCAAAAAAATTACAACAAAGAAACAACTTCCGTTTGCTTCACCGTTAATAAGGGGGTGTAATTGCCCTCCTTTCACCGTTTTTGAAGCTTTTTGCACACAAAAATAGTTCAAGGGCTTGGATGCCCTTTGGTGCCAACATGAAGGGGGGTTTTGCCCCTTTTCCCTCAGTAAAATTATTGCTAATTAGGCTGCCACATGCGTCCCACGTCAGCGGGCGACCTGTTGACATGACAACTAACCTGCAAATGGACTCAATTGAACGTTTTACAAAGTTCGGGGACTTGATTGATCTTTTTAAAAGTATGAGGACCTAATTGACTTTTTCATGAAAGTACGACCTGATTGATAGTTTTCCCTTTTCATTTTAAAAGTTTGTTTTTTTTTATCGTTTTTAAAAAGTTAGTTACATTTTCGTTTTATCAATGTATTTAAAAGTTGAGTTTTAGTAAAAAATATTACTAAAATAAAATTTATTTACAAAAAATATGATTAAAAGTTACTCATGTTAATTCAAAAGTTAAACATAAGTTACTATGATATTACTATTATTCTAGTTATTAGTCACATTTTTGCAAACAATATTTATTTTAATCATACATGGATTATATGTAATGATATCTTATGATTCTTTCGTCGCGAAAAGGTTGACCAAAGTTAACTTTCACGTGAATTAATAAAGTAAAAACTGTGTGTTTGAAATTAGTGCAGGGGAGAAAAAATTAACTTTAACCACACATTCTTTAATGTAAATGGAAATGACAAATCTTTTTGAGACATTCAAAAAAGAAAATTTAGTCAACCTTTTCGGGACTAAAAGAGTATGTTAGATGTTCCCTTTGTTGTAAGTTTTTTCTTTACAAATAATTAATTACTCTTAGTTTTTTATTTTTACCTTCTCTTACATATTTCTTATCCCCTCTCATATTTTTTCTATATTATTAATTATTCCTACTATTTCATCTTCAAGTATTGTGTCTAAACTATTGTAGTGAACTTTTAAATACGCATGAAGTATGAATTATTTGGGATTTATCGGTTTTCTGTTTCACCAATTTGTTTTAAACTGGTTCAATTTTGAAAGGTGAACTTGTAATTTGTAAATAGAACTAAGTACATTTAGTTGGTTTCGATTGATTTTGGTTTGGTCATTTTCAATTAGTTCGTTCGATTTTGGTATGCTTTGTCAGTTTTAGAAGGCTTTAGTCGATTCAATCGGGTTTTCATGCTTGGCCTCAAAACGTGAATCGAATCAACAATGACTTGATCAGTTTTCAATAGATGTTGGCCAGTTCAGTTATCAGTAGTTCGGGTTCGATTGATTTATGGATAACTTACACTACTTTATAATTTTTTTGGTTAAAGCAATAGAACGAGTAGATTTATAGAACACCATATGTCCATATGGAGTCATATGAGGTATTGTGGAACCACAATCACCATTCATTTATTTTGTGGAGTCCTCCACTAAATAAATGAATGGTGATGATGGTGCCACAATACCCCATATGACTCCATAAGGAAGTCATATGGGGCTCCTTAAAATTTTTGGCAATAGAACAATGTCGCCCAAGACTCCCATTTGTCCCATTTTATACTCCTTGGAGCCTGTGGCTCACTTGAAAATTATGAAAAAACAAAATTTTACAACAAACAAAGTTTCTGGAAAACGGTTTTTTATATGAAAACTTCAGTTTTATAAATTTAGTAACTTTTGATTGACTTAAACCAATTTAGATCATTCAAAGTTCTGTAGATTCGCCTTTTTAAGTGAGTGTTTGCAACTGCTTCTGCTTAAAAAAGACACTTTTGGAATGATTTGGAAAATGTGAGTAGTAGTAAAAGTTGATAGTGTTTGAGAGAAAAATGATTTTGAAAAGTAAAAGTTGGTAGTGTTTGGTGAAATAAGTGCTTTTTGTGTAATAAAAAGGGGAAAAACACTTTTCACACGAATGCTGAGAAAAATAAAAATTGGTAGTATCTGGTAATAAGTGTTTTTAAGCAAAAAATCGAGAAGTGCTTTTTTTAAGCAGTTGCAAACCAGCCTTAAAAGCTTGACTTTGGTAAGCCAAACTTGAACTTTTATTTGGAATTAAGGTTTATTTCTAGAAATGTTTTTTCTATGTTGAGATGTTTAGGTCTTGCATGGTCGGTGTGTCTAATATCATCTTGGTTGAGGTGTAATGTCATGTGTTGCACATCTTTTTGGTATGATGTATATATGTCTTGTCTGACATGGTATGATAGTTTCTAATATTATCTCCTAAGTGTGTGAGAAACGTTTAGAATATACTCCCTCCGTCCGGAAAACAACTTTCCGGTTGGACTTTCACACACTTTTAGGAAATAAATTTGACTTTACTGTAGAGTGCACTGTTTAGCACTGTTTAAACACTGTTTGGCACTGTTTAAACATTGTTTGGCACTGTTTATCACTTTTTTGATGTAGATAATTTGCCAAATAAGAAAAATATTGAAGTGTGAAGTTAATTTTGGGACATCCATTTAAGGAAAGTAGGAAGTTTTTTTTGGGACGGAGGGAGTAAGTCCTTAGAATATGGGGGATGGAACACAGGGCTAGGCGACTCCCAATGGGGTGAACTGAATCAGAGGCTTGGGGGTGAGCCAAAATGTTCATCCGGAAATAATTGCTTCACATCAGCCGAAATATTCAACCGGTAGCAGTACGGCTTTCCCTATCAATATTGAAAGCCAAATCAAGTCGAAGTATTTTTGTAAATTAATTTATTCATATTCACTTGGGGGCATCTTGGGCTTACAATTACAAGCGATATGGACAATCTAAAAGGTTTCTCCGATCTTTGAATGAAAACAAGTTTGGAAAATTTATTCGTTTGGTAGAAAGTACATTTAGGGTAGAACTACATTGATAATTCCCGAAAGTTGGTGAGGAGATGGATTTAGATGTTTTGAATCAACCTTATGTAACCAGGAGTTGCTAGATAACCTCTTGAATGAACATATTCAAACATATTTTATACGAAAACTTCAAATTTTACGAAAACTCACTTTTACAAAAACTCAGTTTTACGGGAATAAAATTTAAGTTTTACGCAAAAAGAGTTTCGCGAATAACAAAGTTTTACGAAAACTCGTCTTTTTACGAAAACTTCATTTTTGTAAATTTCTTAACTTCTGGTTGGCATAATCAAATTAGATAGAACAAACGACATGAATCAAATACTATATAGCTTTGCACTTTTACGAAAATTCAAATTCCTTCAAAACTTTACATTCACACCTTCAGGCTTATACCAGTCGGATACAACACCTCAAAGTGAGAGTTTGCAAACAGAAAGTTTGCAAAATGTTGAAGATTTAATGGTGAGGTGAGTTTTAGGAACATGGTATTGTTCATAAAAAATGGAGTCCAGAAAAGTTGCGGGTAGTTCAATCAATACACGTATCACTCTGATACTAATTGAAAGTCCCTATTTATCCAACAATCAGATATAGAAAACAAGAATAGAGAAGAGATTATGCTTGAATTCAATACTAGAATAATATCAATGGTTCTGCCTTCTCTCTGATTGAGAATGTATGAACACAATGGAATGCTCAGCCAAACTTACCGATCAGCTCAACCAGTTTGGGATACATACGAATATCCATGTGTTATCTCAAACAGTACACGAGATTGAGAGCCGACAGTTAGGAAAGTGACATACCACTTTCCTATTATTTATTAAATAAGTACATAATAAATTCTGAATGGGCTATGTAATTGCAAGACTCAATAGCTAAATTAAATACACAAATAAGTTTGTTTCTTGAAAAAGAAGGGCACCAAATTAAAGTAAATAGAATGAAGTAGTGATACTTCAAGCAAGCTCGGTGATTGCATCCATGATGACAACGACACTACACTTGAAGAACATAGGAAGCTAAGTGCTTCTTAAGTGCTAGGTAACTGAGCATTGTAATATTTACAAAGAGATTAGTGGAACAGTGGATTAGAGGAACACGTTATTCCTTGAGCTACTATAAAAATCTCTGGTGTCATTTACTTACTACTCTTACTTCTTTACACTAGGTTAAAAATTGTTGACTCAAACGAGCGTGGACTTTGAGTCCAACACATTTTGCTTTAAGAGGAACAGAAAGGCTATAATGCCTTGGTGTGTGTTAAGGCTTCTTGACAAGAACTACTATTTCTGCCGTATGCCTCTTCTGTCCAGAAAAGTGTCAGTTTTGTGAGACGAACATAAGGAGATGGATTTAGACGTTTAGAATCAACCTTACATAACCAGGAGCTGCTAGATAACCTTTTGAATGAACATATTCAAACAAAGGTTGAGGTGCTTGGGGACCCGATGACTTGTTCTTCTTAACCTTTTGATGGATTTAGGCTTTTGTTCTACTCCTATGAAAACTAACATTGATTGTCTCGAATCTATCTCATCCCGGCTCCTCCTTGAAGACTTGCGCTCTTTAGGTT